CCCCAAAACCCCAAAACCCCAAAACCCCAAAACCCCAATTAATTATAAATTTATTGAACCACTCATCCATTTTCTTTACAAAAATAATAAAGATATATTCTAATGTTCGTTTCCAAGTGCAACAAATGCTTTCACTCACTTGATCCCATAATTTCATCCAAAAAGCTACTATCAATGGCTAGAATACGATTTCCAGAGCGACTACCTCTGATTCGTCCATTCCCTGTTCGGTACATCTCTGAAGACACTATGCGACAGATCCGTCAAAAGGCTCAAATCACTGAAGATAAGATGCAAACTGACTATCTTAATAAATTAGTGCAGAAGAAGTCTGAAGAAGACACTAGGATAAAATTCAAATACAGAAAAGGAGTTGATATAATCCATAATGAAGAAATTGAAGGAACTATTTATAAATATGATCTTCCCATTGAGAATCAGCCCATCCAGTTTAGAAATCAACTCATGGTAGTAGATGAGGAGCATGAATTGACTACACCTACTATGAACCTGTATGAAGAGCTTGATCTAGACAAAGACTCTTCTTATGAGCAATATGTGATTAAAGTCAACCAGAATTATAACCATGAAGTTGATATGTATGGAGATATCAAGAAAGCAGGCTCGGCTAGTCTCAAAGTTCTGCAATTTGGTATCCCAATCCCTCATGATCTGCTTGATGATAAATTAGTGATGAGTGATATTAGGCTTCATACCACATTTAACCAGGATATGCCCGGAGCTATTGAAAATGTGCATCCTAATAAATTTATTGCGAACCTTAGACCTGTGGAAGAATTTAGGCACACTCCAGTTATCCCAATTAGCGAAAAAGACTTGAAAGAATTACAAAAGAAGAAGGATGCAAGGAACAGACAGGGATATTTTGTAGAGATCAAGAAGGATACCGTATATTACTACACAATCACCCTCTTAATCTTCTCAGCTATTGTATATGCTCTCTACATCTCTAATGAAATGTCTCTAAACACAGCCTATGATATCGACAAAGCCAAAGTGTCACGATTAGAAATAGCCAGAGGAAGTGAAGGTCTTGGGAAAATATCAAATGCTGAACAATTCAAAATGCCAAAACAGTAAAATAATAACATATTCCTTCCAAAATTGGGTAATTTCTAGAAGTTAAGGATGGCAATGCCTCTTTCAATTTTCAAGAGGCAGATGGGGTTTTGGGGTTTTGGGGTTTTGGGGTTTTGGGG